TTGTTCCATAAACCATACGTAAGAAAATAGTGTTTTGATTTGAATATAGAAGCTATAATGCAAAATTGTGATCTTTGATAGTGTTAAAACGTTAAGCTGTCAACTTAATTGGGTTTTGATATACAAAAAAATTATTTTTCACATCAATTCACTGAATCATGTTAATTATGATGATTATGATTATGATTGCAGCATAAGCCCCAGTGTGAGGTGATAACCGTTGCAATTAAAGTATAGAAGTCATAGTGCAAAACTATAATCTTTGATAATTTTGAAACGTCACGTTTTCATCTAAGTTGTGGTACGAAATGGAAAAATTGAATTTAAACTAAATAATATCATTGATGTAGTAGTTTTGTAAACGTGCACACTGTTTGCGACATAACCCTTTAGGTGAGGCAAAACCCGTTATAATTAGAGTATAGAAGTTTGCCTTGCGTATTGTGACCACGCCATTATCCTCCAAAGTGATTGGAAAGTGTCTGGGTGGCGGAGACATATTGTCAGTGTATACTGTATAGTGTATAGTGTTTAATGTCGCAACAGTACCTTTGTCGGGCGTACATGCGTGTTATGCGCGCACGGCCTCACAGTATATAGATCATGCTATGGTAATGTAATGGTCCTCAGCACCTCAACCCTAAAGGTGAACTCGCTTTCGACATTCTAAAGTTCAAGGGAATCCCACAGAACTCCGTCGCAAGTGGATGGAAAATACACGATCTTTTCATCGTAATTTGATATTTATATTACATTGTGGTATTGAGGTTATGTAACAAATGTGGATTCTTCGGGACGTACTTTCATTGTGAGTTTTAATATTTCTGAGATACTAATCTCTTGTTGCAGTTGACTATTTGGTGGTTTGCTTCAACAGTTTCAACACCTAAATATTTTGGTCCACCTTATTTGATACAGAGCTATTTATCAAGCACCAAGTAATATAATTTTAAAATTTTAAAGTATTCGTACCGTCTTTGATTAGTAATCCATGCATAATTCTTATTTAATAAATAACTTGGCATAGTTATTTTGCTTCATCAATATCCTTTTTTGTAACAAAATGTTCAACATATTCGTTATACTCAAATCAGCACGCTCAACACGAAACAAACATACAAACTTACTCTATATTTACAATTGGATGAAAATCATACTTGTCCTATCTAGAGTCATTGTTATAGGGCCATATTAGGTTTCCATGGCTTGTGAGGCACATAGAATAGGTTATTTTGCCACCTAACCTAGGATTCTACTCTTGTGCCTATTGAACAATACATAATGAAAAGAAAACGCGGGAAATATAATATATTTGGTGGTATTCATAAACAGTTAAAATTCAATAAAACATTTTTACATAGTCAACTCTTGAGCCTTAACGAACTCAGTTTCGAAAGTGAATTAAGCTATGTCGGAAAACGACAGGAAAGCTTTAAGAAGATAATTTGACACTCAACCGATCAACTTTATCGTCAATCGTAAAAGAGGGTTTAGAATTTTGGTTTTGGCTAAAATCAAGAAGTGAGCGGCAACGACAGCGATGAAATCGGTCGTAAAAGCCAAGTTTGGAGGCTAAGCTCAATCTCTGATGGCTTTGAGTAATCTTCGCACCTGGATCGCCGCGCAGGGCCGGGCGGATAATGCAAAGAAAGCTTTTTACCTGCGAATTGTGCACTGAGAGATGGGATTCCCTTTTTAGTCCTTTTTTCAGGCTAGAGGTGACTTTAAATCTTTATCTTTTTAAATCCTGTTAGTTTACACTCTGAAGAGTAGGGTTTGTGTACACGGTTACAGCACAAAATTGCCTTTCCTAGCTCGTTTCGATAGAAACATTTGTTTTAAACCAACTCAGGCCGAGTTTTAGCATATTTAAAAATATTATTGATTTTCTTCAGAATACAAATTTTGTTAAGTATACAAATTTGCATACACGCCCGCTCTATATTCTGGCAAAGAGTTGAATAACTATCAGGTGATATAATATTACAGTTTATATTCTATTTTAGTTTGTGTTCGTTTAATGGCGTTGGGTCTTTTTTGCGGTCCATCCAAACACTAGCCAACTTACGATCAAACGTCAAACTTTTGTTATGTAGCATCATTATAATGATAGCAAAATGGAAAATTGCATCTGTGCGCAAAATTGACCCCACTCGGGGTCAAAAATTAAACTTTGCTAAACTTAAAGATTTTAGGTGAGAACTAAAAGTATTCGGCTTTCAAGACAATTTGTGTTCACAGTTGATATAATCAATTTAAAAATAACAGTAATAATATTTCCATCCATGCTTCCACTTTTTACAACTATCATACTTATTTCTAATGCTCTTAAAAAACATTGATCACTAAACCAAAAGTATGTTTTCCATATAATTAAACATACTATGCAAAGTATAGTGCAAACCAATAAGAATATGTAATTTAATCGCATAGTAGACGAAGTCCACATCATTATCAAAATCAATTATTATAAAAACTTATATTTTACCTTGGATATTGACTCTACTGTACCATATATGGTCGATTTGACCTCGTCCAACCAAAGTTACAATGATGATGTGTTGTGTGTTTAGCCTCACACATGTGCTGTTGTGTTGCTACGGTGTTGCCGTGCTAAGTGCTGTTGTTACTGACGAACTGTCAACATGTTTACTGCTCTGTCAGTGAGCTCTTAGCTTCTTCCTGAATCCCCATACAAACATGTATAATTACCTACCTTCTCTCTGCCTTCCAGCCGAGTCGTTTTTGTAGAGAACGTTTTCTACCAACTATATCACCGATTGTGTTAGGACATAAAGTAATTTTTGAGAGGTTGTGATGGTGTCATTGGTGGTTGGAGGTAAAAATATTGATCCATCACTTTTTCTTTTATTTTAATGTATGTTAAAACTGATCGACGTTTTTGCAACCCTCAGCTGTTGGTTTAAGGTTTCGTTTGTTCGGTGTAAATCTCTTTGCTGTAATGTCTTCTTTTAATTTATGTTGGTTGACGTTAGTTTAGCTAAGGATAGTTATCGCATTAATTTCCTATTTTTATGTTTTGTATAGGAAATACAATATTATTTGTAATTACATAGATGAAACAACTATTCTAACCTGACCAAGTTTACATTTGCAAGAACAGAGTGATAACGAATGTTGGCTGTTTCATACTCCAAAACGGTTGGTGATGATTTCACACAGTAAAATACTAAGATGGACTTAGGCCTACTCGTTACCCTCAGATCATAAATGACGTGAACATTACCTACGACATAAAGTCATGAAGGGAACGTTACTGAATAACGCCGGTTGTATCACATTGACACCTTGGTGAAACTATTTTCCCCCTTCGGTTGGTTCGTAATTTTTTTTAGTTCAGAGTAGGCTGATCTTACGATTGTCCACCACCAGTCAAGATCACTTTTGCAATCAATACCTTAAGGTTCTTCATTTTAAACATCTCCATGCTGTTCAGAATTTCAGAGATTATAAGACATACAAATTAACTCATAGCCTTATTTATGTCAACGAATATCAAACATAACATTTACTAGATGGTTAGGAACATTTCTTATCATACTAAGCTACTTTTTTATCTATTGTTTTTTCAAAGATAATAATAATGTATGATAATAATAATAATGTAACTTACAATAATAATAATAATGTATATAATAATAATAATGTAAATGGAGCTTAAGTCAATAAATTCTAGTCAACAGGACCCAGTTATGCCGTAAAATAGCATTTTGTCTGAAGCTTTAATATCAATTTATCTTATACTACTGGTGAATTGTATGTTGTAAAAATATACCATATGTGGGTTGAATTAACCATAGTTCTGTGCATAAAATGTAGGTGGTTTAAAAGGAATTTCTTCCATCACTTTTTTCTTTTTGCTTAATGTATGTTAAAACTGATCGACGTTTTGGCAACCCTCAGCTGTAGGTTTGAAGGTGAGATCAAGTGGAGGGGGATACATTTCTTACCCTAAAACTGCCTAAATTTTGTGAATTGAGTATAGATAAAAATATTAACTCTTCCAAAAGTAAATCTATAATTGCCACACCGACCACGAACCTATGGCCAACAAGAAATACGAACAGTGAATTATATAGTGATTACATAATCTAGGTTTAATAATTACGTAATATATCTACGTTTTTATCCAAACCAATAATACCAGAAGATATTTTCGGCCCAATATCGATGGGACGACCGTGGAAGAGCATCACAGATGCCTCATCAACACAACCCCAGGCTCCAAGCCCCAGGGATCGGTTATTAAACAACTAATCACAACGCTTGTTGGTACAATACACTGGCGCCCCCATAAACTCCCCACATAAACAGCAACAATGCTCCCACAAGGCTTCTAATTGGCCGTTATAGCCACCCGGAGTCGACCTCCTCTGCTGTGTTCTGTGTCGGTGAACAATGCTGCAACACGCATCAGGGATAGGGAATAGGGAATAGGGAAACCCGTGGGACATGGCGGCTAGATACATTATACGGCAGATGAATTATACGTAATGGTCGGTTCCTATCTCCTTTCGGCGTGGTAATGTTTTTGTTTATAAGACATTGTAATACGTGTTGGGTAATTTTAATGTCTCAATTGCATTACTCTCATGCCTTTAAGACAGGCGAAATGGAAAGATGGTTAGGTGTTAAAGGTCGGATACCGACAAGGAATACTGTAGCTTTCGTTAATGGTCTTTGATATTTATATCAAAGAAATGTTGACGAGGAGAATAACGCTGTATATCAAAGTGCGATTAAAATGTTGCCATCCAATGATTTTCCGAAAGAAAAGAATTGGTCCTTTACAGCTAATGAACGGCAGGAAGTTAAAGATTTTGAACAGTGTTCATTACTGTGTTCATTTTTGTACACATTTTAAAATCCATATTTGTGTGCATACATGTTAGCTTAGCATTTTGATCAAATAGAATTTCTTAAGCTAAAATTTCTTCTGATGCATATAACCTATAACTAACCTGGTATTGTGTTTGCAGGTCCGAGGTCCCGGAGAGTGAAGAGGAAAGACAAGCGACCGGAGGAGAAGAGGCCTCGGACAGCGTTCAGCGGAGAGCAACTTTCTCGACTCAAGAGTGAGTTCTCAGAGAACAGATATCTGACGGAAAAGCGGCGACAAGAACTGGCGAACGAGCTGGGACTGAATGAGGCGCAGATCAAGATCTGGTTCCAGAACAAGAGAGCCAAGATCAAGAAGGCCAACGGCACCAAGAATCCGCTGGCGTTGCAACTGATGGCCCAGGGACTGTACAACCACAGCACCGTCCCTCTTAGTGACGAAGAAGAAGAGTCAGAGAGTGGTAGTAGCAGTAGACCATCGTAGACTAGGTCCTGGAAACTTGAATGATCCTGAGAAAGACAATGTTCCATAGTTCAAACACCTACCTACAACAAAATATCCCTGGATATGCCACAGACACATACTAGGAGTTCCCTTTTACATACTGTAGCAAGTTTCTCAAGGAACTATACAAAAACACTATGAAGATTTTAAGTCTTGATAAATCGATGTAATTATTAAGTGCACTTGTTATCAAAAGGCTCTTACTCTTAGGTTGTGAGAAATAACTATCCTAATAATGGCATCCGTAACAATGAACATCACGTAAAACCATAAAAGGTAACATAATTTTCCCCATAATTTGTAACGTGTATTTATGTCATATAATAAGAAATACAGTTTAGTTTTGTGTTAACTATTCATAAATAAATCAATATCAACCACCTTTTTCAATTCAAATTAAACGAAACAAACTTGTAATGCTACTTATCAAAGCTTGTAAATACTAAACCGCTAGCGTATGTTTATGTTTGCTTATACATGAGTAATTTGACACTTGTATACAATGACTTTGATGTGACTTGTCAATAGTACATACTTAATCAGGAGAAACACAACTAAGCCGTGCAAATTACATGAAATTTGATTAACCTTATATATATCAACCATAGAGACAAATTTCTACCACACAATCTTTTTTATGTGCTAAAATAAACTAACATGTGTAGTTCATTTTAAAGTTGAAGTGAGTTAATTTTAAAACGAAAATGTTTAGAAATGTTAGAAATATGTATTATTGTTGATATGTTTGTATAGAATGTGATGTAAACGAGTGCTGATATGTAATTTATTGTAAGGGTTAAAGGTCAATTGGTTTTCGTAATCCTAACATGTACGGACGATTGTTTTGTGTTATAGTGCCAATTCTTGTGTGTAAGAAATAACTACCTAGTGCAATAATAATAGTTTAAGATTTAATAGAAGTTGGGTTTCTTGTACATAAGGAGATATTACAGTGTGTTATTGAAATTAACAAGGTTTGTCTGTATATAATCGTCAGTTCCATTTTAATTTACATACTGTAGGCAAGAGATTTATATCAAGTCCAATTTTAACAAAATAATATTTCTTATGTGAATTCCTTAAAACAATCTACTTTGTTAAATAAGAGTTTTCTTCATAGATATGCCAGGACAACCTTTAAGAATCTGGTTGGTAATTGCAATATTCACAATATTACTGATGTATGTAGATATGTATATAACAAATTGTGTACAGGTTTTATATTGATTCATGTATTCAAACCATATATAACTTATTGTTTTGATTTGTGTGGTGTCTTTCACAAAAGTATTACAGAAGAAAAATTTAGTTTTAGCTAGTAAATGTAGAATTTCAACTGTTTTATAAATATTTTGCCTCTATTTATTCTATTTTACAATGGTTGTTTACTTTGAAATTAGGTAGCCCTAACAGTTTTTATCTTACATAGTTTGATCATGTTGTTTTAAGGAGAATTTATAGGAATATAAGCAATAAAGCAATAACTTAGATTGAAAGAACTGTTTTAAAGATGAACATGTTAATTAAAGTTTGCATCATTATAATTCAAACCAAATTGCAAATGAAACTTTACTAGGCGAGAAAGTTAAGTTTTGCATAACTTTAACTCATTTTATATTCACCTAACCAGCTTGTTATTACTTTAAAAATCAAACGTAAGTAACTTGGTGAGAATAAGTGTAAATATATGTAATCGACAGTGTAAAACGTTTTCTGTAATTAGATTTTAGATGTAAGTTGTTCATCAATAATGTAGATTTAGTAAGTCTCCTGCTTTACCCTAACAAAAGACGGTACCTACGGAACTATGAATGGAATTGCTCACGAGAGAACTGCGAATTGTTTTTCGCAGTAAAATTATCAAATTTCTATATTTAGAGAGATCAATCGTTTGAATGCTACAATCACAGTTTTGATATTACAATATTTATCCATGAAATATTTTAAAAATGAAATCAAATTGGGTATATTGCAAGTTTTTATTTTATTTAACCCTTTAGCATACAACTTCAATTACTTTGAAAAAGTCCTGGAAAAAATAGTTTCATTATATACATAAAACACGATAGTATTCCCTTTTTTATATCACTGTTTGAGGCCTTCTCAGTTAAGTGAGCAACTCCAAATCACAGAGTTCGTACTACATCGTCGCTAGTCAGCTTATGTATTTGTATATAGTTTATTGTTGAAATCCTTTATAATTTGTAAATATTGTAAAGCATGGTATATGCTTTATTTAATATATTTAACTTCTTTTTCTTTAAGATAAGACTGAATACTGAACCATAGCAGCCATACTAGACGTAGGCGCAGTGAATCATGTTGTATCATACATTCAATAAAGCATTTTTTGGAAAAAAAAATTCTTGTGACATTAGTTTCTTACCTCATTATTTTCATTCATACAAAAAATAAACTGTATCAATTTGACACATTATTCATCCCATTAGCTTGTCAATGCCCCTTATCATGGGTGTGCGGTGGGAGTACAAAAAAAATAAAAGGGTGAGAAAGTAAAAATCAAATATAAATCATTGACAATTTAAATAAACATATTATGTAAAACACAGAATCATGGAAGGAATTTTATTCAAAAAAATTTATGAGTTAAGATTTTAATCATACGTATTATAAACTATAGCCGGTACAAGTTAAGATCGAAAAATTTCAGGAGAGGAATTGAAATTTGTGTTGCAACTCTATTCAGTTTTTTATAAGTATTTCAATTCGAACTACTACAGTTATTGCATTCCATAAATGACTATACTGTATTAGAGTAGCATTGTTATTGGGGCATTTATATGAATATGAGCTTGAATAAAAAATCCAATACTTCCTTTCGGGGAGCGAGCTGTTCTAGTGATTAGAGCGTGGGACTTCGAGGGGGGTCCCGGGTTCAAATCCCGGCAAATCACCAATGGATTTGATATAAGTGATGATGACGTAACGCCTAGGTCTAGCCTGAGGTAATGTGAAAAACAATTCCCGGCTCGTGCCTAGCGTTCTAGAACAAAAATGAAAAAAACACTTTAACTTTTCACCCCAGGATCGGAAGAAACTATGCTAGCTAAGGTTATATCACCTTGTACCCAGGAGTAAGAAGATGACGTCTTTCTGTTTATCATTGGACAGTCTAATGACTGGATAGTATCAGTGGATAGTTCTAATGATCCGATTTTAACTGTTCATGCAACAAAAAGGGGTTTACAACAAGGAACATTTTGTTACACTGGCAAAATCCAAAGTACTGTCCATCAGGCACGATCCTTCAACGTTGGACTCAAAGTTCTAAAAAAAACCTCCAACATTAGTTTTATACACGCATTTATACATACACACCAGTCACATAGTGAAGACCATCTATACAGGGTGAATAAAAAGTCAAGACCCCCCCCCCCGCTCTAATATTTCTCCAAGTAAATTTACAGAGATATCCTTTTGGTGATCGTGCAATCTCAGCAGGAACTTTCATTCTATGATTTTGAAATTTTTGAGTATCCCCCAAAAAAGGGGGGATTTGAGGGGCAACTAAAAATGTTTCAAAGTAAACCCCCATCAAGTGACACTCATTTTGGATCCAAAATAGTAGCCAATATTACCATTACGAACCAATTTTACCATTGATTTTCCACAACATTTGACGGGCTACCATTTTGGATAGAGAAGAGATAGCGACCTCTAGTTTTCACCATTCTTTATGTTTTTGTAAACAATTCAAAATGAGGTGTCACTTAAAGGGGGTTTACATTTAAAATATTTGAGTTGCTCCCCAAATCCCCCCTTTCTGGGGGACACTCTAAAATTTCAAAATCATAAAATAAAACTTCCTGCTAAGATTGCACAACCACCAAAAGGATATCTCTGTACATTTACTTGGAAAAATATTAGAAGGGGGGTCTTGACTTTTTATTCACCCTGTATTGTTCCCAACATGTTATACAGGCTATTTCCCACCATATATTTTTATAAATTCCATAACAATAGGTAAAATTTGCTGTTCTCTATACTATATATTGGGTACCTTAAAAATTGTGTTCAGTGAGAATTATCTCGTTTCCATCTGCTGTACTGTAATACACGTATATTAACACACATAAATTAACCACATACATATAGTAAACTGCGTCTACAGCTCTATAATTAGCAGTGTATACCTACCAGGGCTTATCTCTGAACACAATTTTGGATATTAAAACGCAGTAAATATTTAATTAAATGCACGTAGATTATTGAAGATTTATACTACAGTATAATTAGTAATAGTAAAATAAGGTAAAACGTTCTGCCCCGATTTGCATTTATTGCTACCAAAGTTCAGTAGGAATCCCCTCCCATTGTGAAGCCATGCTGGACAACTGTGAAATGATCAAGCTATTATATATCTTGCAAAGGGTGCCTATTTACGAAAACAGACTTAGAAATCAAATTCTTCTCAATCAAAACAAAAGTAGTTATTAAAATAAAACGGGAGTTTCTGTTTACAGGTAACACCATGTACATATAGTTGTGTAAATGAGTAAGAAAATATCCCTTTTATATCTCGGGGTATAACAATCCTAAACAAGGCATATATGACTATATTAGGAATAGTAGATAGAGGGGATAGCAGACTTTGATTGAGAACTACCTTAACAAATAACCTAACGAAAAATTGTTGTGGAATGAAGTACTCCAGAGGCTATCGAAATGAATATTATGAACACAACAATTTGTTTGAATACAATTAATGACTAATGTTAAAGGTTTGGAATACAGTTATATAAGTACTCCAGGGGCTATCGAAATTTATATTATGAACACAACAATTTGTTTTAATACAATTAATGACTAATGTTAAAGGTTTGGAATACAGTTATACAAGTACTCCAGAGGCTATCGAAATGAATATTATGAACACAACAATTTGTTTGAATACAATTAATGACAAATGTTAAAGGTTTGGAATACAGTTATATAATTACGCCAGGGTCTATCAAAATGCATATTATGAACACAACAATTTTTTTTAATACAATTAATGACTAATGTTAAAGGTTTTGAATACAGTTATATAAGTACTTCAGGGGCTATCGAAATGCATATTATGAATGCATTTCAATGATAAATAAATTATTATTGATTAATCAATTTTTAAACAAAGAGTTTGGTATATGTATATATTTTTTTAACCTATCAGAGCCAAACTTGTGTGATTGGTAGCAAAGAGGTATTATTCTTTTGTTACAGCTGCTTAGAAATCATATAATCGGACAATTTGAGCAGACATTTGAAAAATATGTTCATAATAAAACAAAATCTCTACTCCTATATATAAGTTCCTAACCATGTCATTAATATCTTTATTGCTATACAGTATACATAATATGCTATACACTAAAAAAAAAATCTAATTTTCCTACATAATTTTAGAGTAATTTTAAGTTGCTACTTGTTTTACAATAATTGAAGATCACTTTAATGTGTATCATTTTATACAATGATGAAAAATGTACAATGAAATACAAAGCAATAGTAAACCCCATCAGGGCTGGTATTATTTGAGAATATTTACAAGATTATAATTTCAACATAAATGAGAACTATACAGATTATATTTATTCAAAACTTCTAAAACTTTTCGAACTGTTTACACAAGCATATGACCCGTCCTTCATGGATTTAAAAGGAAAGTCATAAGCCATCAAAACTAACTAGCTACTTATAAATTAAGTGAATAGCGGTTTTATTGATTTATCACTTTCTTTATTTTGAAATGAAATGGACGACAAATGTATGTACTAAATTACCATAACAAAAAAAAGGTATTATGTTTGTATTGTAATAATTTTTTTATGTAATATAACAAAATTGGGTGAGAAAAATAAGCATGGGAGGATAGAGGGTACCAAAGTCATTCTCAGAAGAGTTTTTTCAGAAGAAAATGTCACGTACATTTTCATCCATTTATGTCTTTACTAAACTTCTTGCTTTGAAATTGAATTTGTAAGAACGTTCCAAATTTTTCCATACCTATATCTATTAATAAGAGCAGAAATCTCGATAAATTCGTCTTAAAATAAGCTAAGTATCACTTTTATTTGCTCCTGTAATAACACATCCACAAGCTATTATAACGTTCTACACAACATTTTGTAGAAATAAGTTTCTGTAGTTATTTATGCAGTGTACTGTTAATCATTTTTATAACTATTCTCGTTGTTCTTGTAAATGTTTACAATTAGCCAGCCTACATTTTTGTACTTTGATTTGTTACAAATAAAAATGTTGGAATAAATAAATAACATTTTCATTCTAGGTCCTAGTGCAAGGAACCTTTCTTGCATATATGCTTCACTTGTTTAATTCAAAACTGGCGTCTTCATAAATCTGAAGACAAAAAATGAAAATCAATGTCACTACTGTATTGATATAAATATAAATTTATATGAATTCGGTGAAATCAGATCCAATTTACATAATAAGATAACATTTTATTAATTAGTAGTGACTTCAATAGAATTCAATAAAGAATAACAGTAAACATACATTATTTGATGGTCAATTCAAACACAAGTACTTAATGGTACATTCATCGTGTGTTATGTTGTAAATTTGGGATATTTGCCCAAAAAGAGAAAAATAGATCGTTACTCATAGCATATGCCAACTCTGATAGCCTGATTTGTCAATGAGTCAGTAAAATATGTAAGCAAAAATACAATACAATAACACAAAAAGGCGTAGCCATCCACCCTAGTATAATACTTAACATTATAGGAACAAATGACGGACTAACGTATATTTCTGGTCGAATGTTCAGGAGAAGAAACTCAACACCGCCAGTGGGGTCAGCCTACAGCCGTTCTTATAACTACAATAGACCATTGTATGGGACACTTAAAATCTGCAATTGTACAGTTATTTCTGTCAGCGGAAATAACGCTGCAATAAGTCGTTTGGTTTGCTCTAAAGGTAGATACACACCCGCACAACTGAAAATAGTTTATTGCTACTGTAACAACTGCACCTCATAAAAACGTTGGATTTTGTGTTCCCTAGCATTAACGATGCATGTAATGGTAATTGAAGAGTCTAAAACAGTCTGCATGACTGCTGCAACAAACGCATTTTCATAGCGTGTATAATGACCGCTATTGAATCAGTAACACTGGTGGCGCAACTTCAAATATAACTGCGAGTGAATAGGCTGTCTAAAATAAACTTAGCTCTCTTTTGTTAATCATGACACAGATTGCTGTTTAATATGTGAATGCACTGCATCTGTTGAACGGCAATTTAATGCTCTGACTGCAAGCCGGCCGAAGCACC